CTACTTCCGTGTTACAAACGTAAACAACGCTCCTCTGTGCGCTCAGGACAGACCTGTGTCAGCTTTTAATAATGGTAGAGGCGTCATTACTCCCCGGTTGAGCTGCAGCCTGCAGATGAAGCAATACGTGTTTTTTATTTTTATTTTTTGCGAAGCAATGTCTGCTGTTTGTCTCCTTTTTTATCTGTTAAGAGAGTGTGGAGGAAAAGTTCTGCACGGTGCAGCGCAGCTGGAAATTACAGCGCTGCTGCCCCACCTCCCCTAAAGAGCAGAACCAGGTGAATGAAAGTCAGCAGACATGCGCACACAGGTCAGTTTTCTACAATCAGAATAAGATGATCTGATTACCGGTAAGTGTTTACACGAACRTCATTTCGACTATCAATCGGCATAACCCACCCTTTTCATTCGGATTAAAAATTAATTCGGATTGAACTCAATCGGATGAGAATAATCGGAACAGGCTTTTTACATGATGGCCATTTAATCCGATTACTTATGTCCATGTAAACGTAGCTAATGATCAACATATTTGAAGTGTATTTGYTTGATGATTTTGATGATTCCATCTGACAAAATGTACAGTAAAGCTTATTGCTTGTTTCATAACTGGTGACTGTGTTATGTTTTTATGATGTAAAGCACTTTGAACTGCCTTGTTGCTGAACTGTATACAAATAAACTTCAGTTGATGATCAAGAGGTTTAGAAACTTTGAAAGTTTTAAAACTCAGGAGACATGTGTGAACTCTGAAATGAGTTAGGATAGAGTTGAAAGTTCTGTGAGGATGTTATTGATTTTCAACTTAGTACAAATTGTACAAAATTATATTAAAGAGCCCACAAATAGGGTGGCAGGAAAATCTTTTAGAACAGGCACCCTTTAGAWCCACCACTGGCTACAGGCAACAAAGAATGTTAGCATTTTTCACTGCTGGGATTTAGATCTTTAGCTGGTGCTGAATGTTTTGAAACTGAGAAATATACGATATTGGCAATATATACATATAAATGTGTATATATGTGTGTGTGTGTGTGTGT